GAGAGACAGGTACAGACAGGAGGGGAACAGCAGTCAGAGAGAGAGAGACAGGTACAGACAGGAGGGGAACAGCAGTCAGAGAGAGAGAGAGACAGGTACAGACAGGAGGGGAACAGCAGTCAGAGAGAGAGAGACAGGTACAGACAGGAGGGGAACAGCACTCAGAGAGAGAGACAGGTACAGACAGGTGGTAAGGGCGGGGTCTGGGGACTGTGTCTGTGTGTCTACCTCACCAACAAACTAACCAGCCTTCTCTCTCTCTCTCCCCCTCTATCGCAGTCCAACCCTCTGAGAAGATTTAAACAGGTGAGTCTCCCTCTGCCCTCTCTCCTCTTCTCTCTCTCTCCCTCCTTCTCTCCCTCTTCCACACCTCTGATCTCTCTCACTCCTCCTCCCCCTCTCTCTCTCTATCCCTCCCCCCCTCTCTGTCTCCATCCGATCCAGTTTTCGGACTCTTCCGCGACCCCCTGCTCCCTGCGTCTGTGAGCCCCCGAGGAGAGAAGAAACTATGAGGAGGAGAGGAAAGAGCAGAGGAGTGAGAGAGTGTCTCCGTCAACCAACACCCCGCCCCCCCTCCATCCCCTATCTCCTGTCCCCTCAAAGTACCCCCCCAGTCCTTAATAAAGAAAGTCTTCAGCCTGTCTCTCCCTGCTGTGTCTGTACTGACCACATACCCAGCAGCCCCAGTTCCGACTACCTTTAACCTTTGACCTTTGACCTTAATTGCCCCCTGAGGGAAGTTGTCGCAACATACACAGTAACACATCAGACAATAAGACAATACAGCAACAACAGCAACATGATGCAAACCCACATGTTTCAGAATTGCTCAGTCAGAACTCAATTCAGGATCATGAGCTGAAAAACAGACAAGTCGCTGGGAAAGCATCTAAAACAACAAGAAGACCCCTCTATCAACGCTGTCAGGTGTCAAAGAAGTGCCTGATGAGTCCTGCTTTCAGGGTTCTGATTTAAAGTGAGTGAGCTGCCGGTTCCAACACCTGCTAATCTCCGTCTCTGAAGGGTCTACAGATGGACAAACACCCCCCTCACAGGGCCAGCGTAGACACGCAAACAGAGTTTGACAAGACAGTACAATCGTTTTCTGTATTTTCATGATCATGCAGAAACAGAAACAAATGAATTGCACAGCCTTGGAGAGTCTCAGACTGCTCTGTCAGTGTCAGTGGAGTCTGATTATAATCCCAGTGAAGAACTAATCCAGCTCCCAGTCCAGTCAGTCCAGTCCAGCCTGGAGAGTCTCAGACTGCTCTGTCAGTGTCAGTGGAGTCTGATTATAATCCCAGTTCATAACTAATCCAGCTCCCAGTCCAGTCAGTCCAGCCTGGAGAGTCTCTGTCAGTGTCAGCGGGAGTCTGTCTATAATCTGTCAGTTCCGACAGAGACAGAAAGGTGATTTATTTTAACGACTTTCTGAGCGCGTAACAGACCACACCGAAATCCGTTTTACAAGAGGCGTAACAAACCGCAACAAACCTACAGCAGCCGCACACTACTAACAGCGAGAACGTCACCACACTATAGAAACACACCCTTTTTAAAACACGATGTTGTCTTCCACTCTGAGAGAACGCCCAGAGAAAGAAACTCCCTCCAAATATGAACGATTATCAAAGAAAATTTAAAATCATGTAGGAAATTAAGGTGATTATCGAAGGCGAGGGAGAAAAATACCGCCTCACGAGAAAAAGTGAAACAAACCTGTATTTTAGAGGTATTTTCCCCAAGTGCGCTAGTTTTACATTTAAATCGAGATTCGTACAGTAATGAAAATTCAAAATGAGTTCGCTGAACGACTCTTGTGTGCGTAGAAGAGTTTGCACAGAAACACGTTTTGCAAAGACCCGCTACATCCAGGTGGGGCTGCACACTGGTGGGGGTGGAGGGGATCCCCATTACCTGTAAAGCGCTTTGAGTGGAGTGTCCAGAAAAGCGCTATATAAGTGTAAGCAATTATTATTATTATTATTATTACACGCCATTCACCACTCTTTCTAACTGGGAGGTCCCCGCACTCTTAAAAAAAAACATTTTATTCTCTTCCATCGCCACAATAAATACAATAACGACTATGAGAGAGAGAACCGTACTAAACAAATGCGCATTCCTAAATCAAGCAAGCTGAAGAACGGTAAGTTAAATATCGACGGTGACAGAGAGAAATTAGGCCTCACAAAAGCAGAAGTAAAAAAAAAAAGTACTTTCAGAGGGCTTTTCCAAAGGGCGTTAATTAATTAAGGAAGTCCAGCTGCGTCGTCCCGTGACTCCCCTGTGACTGACTGACTGGCCTGAGGCGGGCCTCGTCCGGCTTGACGGGCACCCGCACCGGCCAATCACCGGCCAGAACCCGAGAAGTGGCGTGGGGGCCGGGCCAATCAGAGGAGGGGGGGCCTGCCTGCCTGCCGGAGATAGCCGAGCGCCGCCGAGCGGGGGCCCGAGTTTCGAAGTGCGGATGCGGACGCAGAGAGCAGCTCCAGCCGTCGTTTCACTGAAACAAGTTTGGTTTTGCAGCGAGTTGAGACCCCAAGGGGACCCGTGCGTGCGGATACCGAGCAGCGAGCATGGTTCGGTGGGGGTTCGGGCTGCTGGCCGTGTGCCTCGTCCTGTGCTGCGCCCACGCCGTCGTCAGGTACGCGGGGCCCCCGGGCAGTCGGGGCGCGGGGTCTCTGATGGGGCGGAAGTCGCTTTTCAGCTGAAACCTGTCGCTGGCTCCCAGGCACCGCCGAGTCGGGGACACGAAAACTACGCGGTTTGGGTTTCTTATCTGGAGGGGAGGGGAGCACCCCAACAAAGTCTGGTGTT